CGAACTTAAAAAAGCCTCATTTTGACCCATTATTCATGTTTCATTAAAGGTATTTCATGGTTTGAGGCACCCTTTATACACTTTGTGTTATATCTCTCTTTTTGGCCTTACTTTGTGTAGTATTTTAGGCTTGCATGTATACTGTTTTGGGTCCGGACATCAACTGTAAAATTCATTATTTTTGACCCCTCTTCAACATTGTTGAAGGGCCCCTTTGTGTTTAAGGCCAGAAACCACCACTTGCTTCTTTGACCCTCGTTTGGCCCATTTCTTGCATGTGAGCTTAGCCATACTTGTGTTGGTTTTTGTGGTTTGTTGTGTACTGTAAAAGATCATGTTTTGGGCCCCTCTTCAACTTTGTTGAAGGGCCCTAATCTGTTTGGTGTCAGCAGCTGTGAGTTGCTTCTTTACCTCACATTTAGGGCCATTTTTGCATGCTAGTTTTGGCCTATTTGTGTTTGCTGTTTGGCCTTGTTTAAAACTGAAAAAATGCTTGTTTTTGGGCTGCCTAGAATCTGTCTTCACATGTCATAATCGAATAATGCATGTTTTATATAGCTATAGGCCAATGCATGGGCCTAGTTTTGCATTTCGGTTTCATTTCATGCATCGGGAGCCATACTTTTATGATTCGGGACTGTTTTGGGTCATATTTTAGCGCTGAATTTTGCATGTTTGAATATCATCTTTCATGCCTTGCCATGTCTTGTTAGAGTGGCATTTGGTGCCTTAGGGTCGGTCCTCGGTTTGCGTGCATGCGTGCACGCATCTCGAGTGTCTCATTTTCATCTCATGGCCTCCTATGTGAGTGTGGCTGAGATCCACTCATGTTGGTGTAAGTCCATTTTGCATTGTGTATGCCATCTCATTTCATAGCATTGCGTATGCTAGGTTGTATGTTAGCGCATTGTGTATGCCATGTTACCTCGTGCATCGTGTATGCCGTTCCATAGCATTGTGCATTCTAGGTTGTATATTAGTTGCATTCATGCATGTCATGCATATTGCATTGTGCTTGGGATAGGAGTTAGCCCAAGCACGGGAAACGAGGTACGTTTCGTACTCCGAGTGACGGAACGTGTCTCAATTCCTAGTCGACGACACTCCGGATTATCCATGATGGAGTTAGGTCTTGTTTTGTTTTCATGTGCATCCATTCTATATTGAGTTGCACAATTCGACTCCTCGGCCATCATGCATCGAGATGCGTGATTGATGGCACGAGGATCGAGGCATGCATGCATTTGTGAAAATACATTGCTATGCCCTTTTCCTGCTCTCTGTTGCAGCAAATCAAGAGTTAGCAACCTTCCGGAGCTTGGCGCGCTTTCCAAGAATAATTGCGAAACAGAGGCTAATTGGGGCATCCCAGTGGATTTCCGCGCAAGGCAGCCCAAACATGCATCATCCATCATCGGTCAGAAGAGTCAAGGCAGTCCCTGGCTTGCATGCCAGTTTATTACTTTTTCTTAGTTAATTTGTAAATTAATTAGGAATTTGTTTATATTGGGACTGTATTATTTGGGACTGTACTATTTATTCGAACCCTCTGCGCGAGGGCACAACTGTAATAAGTGTGCGTGTGTGATGTATGTCTTCCAACCCCACGTCTTTCTCCCTTTTATTTACCTGCTTATGATGGTTAGATTAGGGCATGTTTCAATTAGCATACAGTATAATAGCATGTTTGCATTCATTCATCTGTTTTGCACGCACCGGGCTCGGCGCATCATACTAACTGCATTTGTATTTCAATTTCAAAGTTGAATACTTGTTAGCTGTTGCATCTCATATGCCATGTTTAGAATAGCCGAGCCTGCTATAGTTGCATTTTGCATGTGTTGCATTAGGCATCTCTGTATAATTAGGATCATGCATGGATTTCTAATTAGTTTCTGTTTTGGCTTGGAGTACTCGGTAAGTTTTATGCTTTAGCATCCTTGCATGCGTGTGAGTGACTGCCACGAAAAGCATGCTTACCATGAGGCTATTTGCTTATGTGATATAACTGCCTGAATGCCTGTGGGTGAAGGTTGGGTTATTTGAACTGGAACAAATCATTCATTATGAGTTTTAAGCCCACTAGATAGTGGCAAAATCATGTTTTCTAAGCCCACCCAAGGGTGGCAAATCCACGTCTTAGCCTACTTGCGGGTAGCACCATCAAACCATTTTCAAACAAATAAACATGAAATGTTTTGTTCCAATTCAGGCGATCCAGTCTATACTTGTATGCTGTGCGCATCACATAGTAAATCTAGGCTAATAACCGGAATAAGAACACACAATGTTTTCAAAACTTGATATCATGGTTAGTAGAGGCCGATCCTTGATCGGGCGAGTGGGGGTGCTCACAAAGTGACCTTCCCCAATCGTACCCAAGTTCCCGAGCCGAGGCAACTTTGGTGATGACGGACACGTGGCCTTAGGCAAACGAGTCAGGGTTTCCTAAATTTCTCCAAAATAAAACATTTAGGTGGCGACTCTGTATCTGGAAAAGCAGTCCATGTTTGGCACTTCTTTCAAAAAATCTGTTTTCTCAAAACGATTTGCCGGATTTGGACTCTTTGGTTCAGATTACGAACCGTGACAATTTGAGAGTCCTGAGCTGTAGTGACCCCAAATGAACGGAACGGGAGCTCGTTCCCTCCCGGGGCGTTCGGGGACGTCTACATGTTCATAATGGGAATATTGTGTGGAAGTATTGAAAGTGGAAGAAATATTACATTGTATTATTAATCATTACATTGGCATATCAATTTATTTAATAATGATGAGCTTTGAAATTTGATTTGCAAACTTTGCATTGAGAAAGGAATGTTGGAAAACAAGTTTTCATAAAATGATTTTTGGGGTAAATGTGGTGGTAAGTCTTGAAAGGTAGTGTAGATGATAGGTGTCAAGCCTTCTAGTTAATACTGGTAAAAATGACAGATTACAAGTGTCTGACCTTCCAGTTAATAATGGTAAAAATGATAGATTAATGGTGTCGAGCCTTCTAGTTAATACTGGTAAAAATGACAGATTACAGGTGTCGAGCTTTCCAGGTAATACTGGTAAAAATGACAAATTGGTAGTACTTGTATAGTCTACTTGCAGACACCAGCCTAGGGATTACCTGAGTCGTATTTATCATCTTGGAATTTTATTGAAATTGTTGGATTAATGTGTTTTTTTTTTAAATGACATTGTGTGTAAGATTTTCAAAAGATGAGAAAAATATTTTGAGTATGACATGGCATATGCATTTATCTCATAAGACCGTATAAAATGAATTGATGAATTATTTAATTATTTGATTCAATTGATAATGAGATAATTGAATGAATTGAAAAGGATGTTTATTGCTATTGAAACATGTTTCTTTATTTAAGTTAGCTTGTTGTGGTTAATTAAATAAATTAGATTTAAGAGATTATGTAACAAAATCATATAGTTTTGACATGATATGACTTCTCATATATGTATGAGTATTTTGGTACCCGCATATCTTCTAATGTTTTAATATGAGATTGCTTGGTGAGCTAGTGATTACTCACCCCCTGCCTGTACATGTGTACAAGGAATGCTTTTCGGATTTGAAGATCAAACAATGGATTTTACCATTTCATAAGTGTAATGTAGTGATGGATTGTATTACTTCATTTGTTGTTTTGCTGAGTGCTATTTTTTTTTTTATAAAGAGTAGCGTCCTCTCTTTTATTGTAAGTCTCAAGGCATTTCTTTTATTTGTTTGTAAATGTCATTGTTGTATAACGAGAGGGAATATGTATATTTAATTATTCATCATTTCATCCAAGGATGAAATGTTATTTGTAAATGGACTTAATTAATGAATATTGGTAACGTTATTCGAGTAATAAAATACAGGGCGTTACAATTGTGCTGTTAAAGAGATCCATTGGGCCTAGTGATTAGGCCCGCTTGAATAGTTAGGGGCCTAAGGCCCGTTATTGCATGAATAATTATCGTGTTTTTTAAAAATTTAGTGGTGTTTTTTTGAAAATTTCATGTTGAATTTAATAATTACATGATTCAATGAAAATGAATATAATGAACAAATCATAAAACATTATCAAATAGCGATAGTAACTTGAGTTCACTATGTGGTATTCTAGTTTATTTACTTCCTTTCATTGAAAATTGAAAGAAGGATAATTTATTTGATTCAAGTTCATAAAAATTTCATTATTTTTTCTAAAAAATATTAATAATCATTATTTATGTGAATGATTATACTAAACATCGATGCTCTAATCTAATTTAAAGGGATAATAAGATCAAAACTATTCATAATAATTCTTTTGCTTCCAAAATAATTAAATCGTGTTTGTGTTATTCATATTAATATTGAATTTATATCACAAAAACTTTAGTTTTGTGACAGTCCAAAGTGTCACTGGAAAAAGCCTATACAGGCATTTTTCAATAGAGTAGTGTTTTCAACAATTTTTTTTACTTTCAATGCATTGTAAACCATATAATCTTAATTTGAGATTTTCATATTTCTATATTTATTATCATATTATATAATTAAAAATTGTACATTGAATTTGAGCAAGGATTATAGCCATCCATTCTACTCATGTTTCACGTTTGTGCTTGCAAAAAAATAAGTTTTGTATTTGAATTTTAACTTAAATAGAAATTTACACCTGATTTGTTTAGGAGGAAGATATTTATTTATTTTTTGATATTTGATACAATAAAAAACATAAATTAATTAAAAAAAATGTTTTTTTATAATCAACGAAAAATAAGTTTATTTAAGTAAAAAATATTTTTAGCCTTTAAAATATAAAAAACATTTTTCAGAATAAAATTTTGTTAATATCACATCACACCATCATCACAGCCACCTACCATCACTGTCGCCACCGCTCTACCACCATGCCATCCCCTTCACCTTTACTTTCATTTCACCACCGCCACTCTACCACCGTGCCACCTCTTTTACCTTCACTTTCATTCCACCACCATAACCACCACTCTCAAACGTATAAAATATTTTCTCTAAAAGAAAATATCCGTAAAACATATGTTTTAGGCGCAAACAAATCAAGTGTTATACTAGGAAATAGTTACAAATATTATTTATTTCCTCCACAAATTAAACTAGGAAATGCTAATGAGTGAACTGTAGGAAAATGAAGTCCACATATCGATCCCTTATTTCCCGCCACACATCACCGAAGTATGTATTCTTCTTTATCAATTCCACTTCTGCAATTCGAAAAAAGTTTCACACCAAATCCAAACGCAACTCATCTACTCTCCTCTACAAAACCCACCACAATTCATAGCTCACACACCAAAATCCAATCCTTAATCACAAAACCCATCTCTCAAAACATCCAAATTCCTCAAAAATGGGCTTAGTTTTCGGAAAAATCGATGTCGAAACCCCTAAATTCGAACTCATCAAATCCACCAATGACTACGAGATCCACAAATACTCTCCCTCAGTGATCGCCGAGGTCACATACGATCCAACCCACTTCAAAGGCAACAAAGATGGCGGTTTTATGATCTCCGTGAATTACATCGGCATTGTTGGAAATCCCCAGAATTCCACGCTAGAGAAGATCACAATGGCAGCTCCAGTGATAACCCAATCGTCGCCAGAGAAGATTCCGATGACAGCTCCGGTGGTGATGAAGGAAGTGGAGGATAAGGAGAAAAAGATGATGACTATGCAGTTTATATTGCCGGAGAAGTATAGGAAGGCAGATGAGGCACTGAGGCTGGTGGACGAGAGGGTGATGATTAGGGAGAAGAGGGAGAGGAAGTATGGGGTGGTAAAGTTTGGTGGCGTGGCGACGGAGGAGGTGGTGGTGAAGAAGGTAGAGGAGCTGAGGAAAGGTTTGGAGAGAGATGTGTATAAGGTGATTGGGGAGTTCTTGGTGGCTATGCCTGCTTTTAGGACTAATGAAGTCTTGTTACCCATTGAGTGATTTTCTAGTGTTTTGAGGGGTTTGTGATTGAGTGATTTCCTAATTTAGTTGCATACTTTGTCATCTATTTTGCTTTAGTTTTGTTCTTGACATTGATGCATGATAATTTAGTTTATGTATGTGCAAGAAAAAGTTGCTTGTTGTTGGATGACTTTGAACATCTTGGCTCTTTGTTTAGATGGAATGAATGTTTCAAGGGCTTGTTATTTTGTCGCTTTTAACAAGTTATCTCGTGGATATAATGAAGCCGAACTCTTATTGTCTAGTTACATTATGCACACTATTTTAGAAACCTGAGCTACGTTATGCACACAAAATACTAGAAGAAGAAGAAGAAGAAGAAGAAGAAGAAGAAGAAGAAGAAGTGGAGTAAATTTGGGGTATAAAAACCTAAAACTAAGATGTTAGATTAGTCGATATTGAGACACCAAACATGTTTGTTTCTCAACATGGTCACTAAACCTGATCTATAAACACCCCAAATGCTGCATTTGCACATGAAGAAAGTATAAGAGAGGAAAAGAAAGATTCAAAGCCACCATCACAATTTCTTACTAGACAAACCATCTCTCATTTTGAACAACATTTTCAGCAACGTATAAATCGTGACAAAAGAAAATAATTTTGAAAAATGTAAAAGAACTTTCTATTATGATATTTAATCAAATATTACATCCAACTTTGTGAGAAAGACTTTATTTAACAAATGAATTTTGACAATCGGAGAAAGAATAATGAATAGATTATGAACTTGGAAGTACTCCACATTCACATGAAGAGTTTCACTATGCTTTGTAACTGACTTGTGTGCATTATTTTCAGTGATCTATAACCTTCTCTGCTTCTTCCCATATATGTTCTTTATCTATTTTGTACATCAAAACTGAAACTTGCTTCTGGAACAATCAAATTAACCTCGAGACTCTCCTCCGCCTTGTTGGCTGCCATCACCACTCCTGAATTCTGAAAAATGCAGTTTCTTTTGAAAACCCATATTGCCACCTTCAAAGCATGGGGTTTCGTATACTTAACAAGAGATGCCAAATTTGTATTTCTAACTAAAACTAAAAGTGAAGCAGTCGATAGATTTGGTTTATGGTCAAGTTGCTCCTGAGAACTAATACAGACACAACCAGGAAAAGGATTTGCATAAAAATTCTTCTCTAGCCTTGGTAATTCTCCTGGCAGTCTAAGATATGGTGTTCCAAGTCTATCCGAGTGCAACCTCTTAACCTCTGAAGAAAACTCTTCCTAAGACATAGCACCCTCATCCAAATGATCAATCAATCTAACAAAAAATTTTTTGAAATGAAAAAATGTCAAATATTAGTAATCTAACTTACAATTTAATGGTGAAAGTACCAATAGAAAAGAGCCTAAGATAATGTATCTGTCGGGGTTTATGTTCTTTCGAAATCCTTCAAACCGTCTATGCCTTTGCACCACCTTTGCCATGTTCCCATCATATATGTAAACAAAAACATCACTTTCTAGTGCCATGATATAATCCAACGTAGCAAGATGGTTCTGATACCGCTTGAAAGGCTGCAGCTTTTCTTCGGTTGCAAGAGTGGAGTGAGAGAAGACATTTGGGTACTTTGAGGAGGCCTAGATCATACGAGTGTTCCAGAAGGTTAACCATTGCTTTCAGAAAAGATGAAACCCTTGGAGGAGGAGGATATCTATTATCCGAGGTGTTGGCTTATTCTTGAAAGGGTTCAGAACCACAAACCTAGAGACCTATTTGAGCTCAGACTTGAAAGGGTTCGAATCCACAAACCTAAAGATCCGAAGCGCTTGGCTTCGAATGGATTCGAACGCAATCTAGAAGCCGCTCCATTAATGAGTCCCAGAACATTTGTGGGCTCGGAGCTTTCTGGGATCTACGCACTAGAACCATGGGCGGAATGGAGTCCAAACAAAGGACCCGATCCCGAGGACGGTGAGTGGAGATAAATTCACTCTTCGGTTAAACTAGCCTATACTCGGGTCGAGGTGGCACGATCTAGGGGGTCCTTGAGACTCAAAAATATTTGCGGTAGGGCGCTTTCTTGAACTACCCTTGACCTTTCTGCGGAAGGACGTCCTGTTGGACTACCTCTGACCCTTTGGGATGATTGGGGATCATTGGTTAGGTGTGGCTAAGAAGAAGGGTTCGCTGAGAGATTGATCTCCTCTTTGGGATTTTCCTCATCCTCGGAGAGGTCACCTTCTTGGACAAGGTGGTTAGAGAGAATATTTCCCACATGGGCTAGCTTTACAAGGGATGGATTTTGGAGAGACATTTTTTGGGAAAGAACTAATTTCCTTTCTCAATTATCTACCTTGAAGTGAAAGTGGGAAATCTATGGGAGAGCCTTGCCATTATGCTCTCTCTAATTACTTTGCCTTCTTCTTCACCCAATCTCTTATCTCCATCATCTCTTTGCAATTGTGTTTCTAGTTGCGACCGTTGAAGAATCTAAGCCTTTCATCGTTTCTAGAGAATTCGAGTTTTCTTCAAAGATCTTCTAATTTTTAGGCCACATTCTTGAACCCTCTCATACATTTAGCGACTCTACTAGGGAGGCAGATTGGTTAATAGTCTCAACAAGATCCGGAATTTACATAACTCCAGTGAAGATGGCGAGAAAGGAAGAAGTTCATCAACAAGGCTTTTCTAATGGTGATAATGAGAGGACCCCAGTTCAAGACGCACCTCTCATCCTTGAAGCCATTCAAAGACTCCAACACACTTAACAAGAGATTCTCACGACCTTTCAAAATCTCACCCATACCATGTTGGTGATGGGTTCGAATTTCGCACCACCAGCAACAAATGGAGGTCAAGTTGGCGCTGGCAAGCATCAACAACTTCATGGTGACTTTGGGAATGGTCAAAACCATCAAGACCCACTCCAAATTCTCCCTGAAGTTGCTCAAAATGGTGTACAAAATCAAGTGTTAGGAGGAACAAGTCATGGCCAACCTGTGGCCCATGGAGCTCAAAATCACGCACCTGGAGGATCGAGCCATGGTCCAGCGGTGGTTAGAGTAGTTTCCAGCGCGATGAATGGTGTTCCATTGGCTGTGGAAGTTCAAGGAAGGCCCACAAAAATTTCTCTACAAAATGGTGCTTCATCCATGCCTAATTTTGTTCCATTGATTATAAATTCTACTCATGTACTGAGCGAGTCTCCTTTGGCTCCGATAATGGCTTTCCAAGCTCAACCTGACATACCCATGGCGTGTAACGGAGTTTATGGAACTCAATTCAACGCTATATCATCGAATGTCATATCCATAGATGCCAATGGTCAATATCACTATGTTCCTACACGGACGGTGAATTCTCAACACCCAAATAGACAAGTCGCTCCAAGCTCGGTCTTCGGGTCTACAAGCCAAGTTTTGAGAATACCACCATCAAGTTTTCTCCCTCAACAATTTATCACTCTCGCCGATGCGCAAGCCATGTTCAATCTCGAACGGGGCAAAATGACTTTACCCTCTTCGCCTGATCTGGATGTCAAGCCACCATACCCTATCGAGATGTTGAGTTATCCATACCCGGAGGGGTACACGGTGCCGAAGTTCATCAAATTCGATGGAAAGCAAGGAAATGCTCGAGAACGTGTTGTTTGGTTCATTGAGACTTTGGGGATTCATGGTTCAAATCATGTCCTCCAACTAGGAGAATTCTTAAAGTCCCTCACCGACCAAGCATATAGTTGGTATGTTAACTTGGCCCCAAACTCTATCCGAAGTTGGGAGGAGATGGTCAACAAATTCCATACCAAATTCTTTCAGGTGGTCGAGAAAGTGACCACACTCACCCTGTGTAAGGAAAAGCAGTAAGAGGGTGAAGACATTCTTGAATATGTGAAGAGGTTCTAAGACAAAATCGTGGACTGTCACGAGGCTTTAGAGGCAAGCTACTTGGTCCAAATCTGTGTTGAATGGGCATTGAACGGGTACAAGATGCTTCTTGTTAATCACAACCTACCCACCTTCTCGGCACTAATTGAAGCATCTCGGAACATCAACATACCTCTCATCATTTCTAGAGAATTCGAGTTTTTTTCAAAGATCTTCGAATTTTTAGACCACATTCTTGAACCCTCTCAGACATGAATTGATAATATCGGTTTTATTATTTTGAATACCGATATAGGCTGTTTCTCTCATCAAATAGCATCGAACTGATTGAAATAGTTCGGTTTGATGCATTTTAATCGGTTTAAAATGTTTCAAACTTGAGCCATTTTTAAATATAATCACTAATTTATATAAAAATATTAAATTAATTATTTGTCTACCATTTCAAACATATCCAATTCATCCATTTAATAAATACTTTTCAATTCCTAAATTAACAAAAATAAAAACAAAAAAGAGTTTAAAAATACTAAAATTTCAAGAATAATGAATTAGATTTAAGATTATATATAATAAGAATTTACAAATTTAAGTTATAAAGATGATAAAGTTAATTAATTAAGATTAATAATTTATTATACTTATTAATATCATTATATTATTAGATTATATATATATTATAAATAAAATATATGTTGAAGTGATCGATTTCGATTTAGTTTGGTGGATAAGGTGCTTGAACCAATACCGAATCAAGAACCAAAAAAAAAAATCAAATTTAAAAACGCACAATTTTTGCTAAAAAAAACAAATCAAATATAACTAATTTGGTCCGATTCAATCAATTTAATCGATTTTTTTTTGATTTTTCGTACCTCGCTAATCAAGATTCTCATCTCAAAAAACATACTCCATTGAGATTGTGTTTGAGAATCATGAATTCAAATTAAAATTTTAGAAAGTGAAAAGTTAGATTTATATTTTATTCACATTTTTCTTTATTTTTTAAATTACTATCCAAATCATAATCAAATCACAGCTTGTAGACTGTAGTAACTAGTCTTGAACCATTAAAGTTTAAAACCCTCGTGTTTGATTTATGAATTTAAGAAAAATTTGAAAAGAAAATTTAAAAATATAAAAAAAAATATAGTTATATTACATCTGCCTTTTCAATTTTTTGTTTTTTAACAAATTACTCCCAAAATTCATAAATTAAACACAATCTAAAAACTAAAGTCATCTCAAACACATCCACACCTTACCATCTAAAAAAAGGACACATCCACACCTTGATCCAAATTTATACCCTAAATTTTTTTATAAAACCAAGGAATCTGGCTCTTCTACTTCATTTCTATTT